TTACAGTGGCATTCAACTTTTGTTCTGGCCATCCCTAAAGCTAATTATAACACGTTCCCTAGGAGGCATTTAATAAAACTGAACAGTTAGAGAAAGAGGTCTCAGGACTTGAATCCAATTCTTGGTATGGTGTGACCTGCAGGATTCAGGCAGAATCATTAAGAAGTGATAGATGAAACTTCCCTTCTGGGAGATGGAAGGGCTTCACTGATCAGCAAAGATGACTCACTCAGAAGCACAAATGCTGAAGTTCGCATTTATTTTGGGGGCAAAAATAGGAAGGAGGGGAAGAAATCTCAAGGAGAGAGGCAAAGGTCCTTGCTGTCAAGATCAAAGGAAACTGGTCTGATGGTGCACAGAGATGGGAGAGGTGTCTGTGAGCAGGAGCCTGACTCAGCTGCATGGCCTGGCCCAGCAGAAAGTCTCATTGGAATTTTAATTTCATCTCACCCATCTTATGGAGATGTTTTCTTCTCCATAAACAACTGATTTGAGAGAAAGGCACATTTTTGCCAGTAGACGAGTGGAAGGCCAGGCACTGCTGATCAGCCAGAGTCCCTTTTGAGGGACTTTATCCTCCCTTCCTTATCCTATAATTGTTCATAAAAACAAAGACATCGTTTTGTTTACCAAAAATCCCCACTGGTAGCCTTAGACTGGAGTGAGGAGGCTATTGCTGTGCCCAGCTAACCTCTTGCAGCAAAGAAAGTGCAAACATGGTCTTTATTCTGTGCATTTCCTGGAGGAAAGGGTACTGGACAGGAATTCAGATAAGAAAATTAATGCTGTTGCTGTTCTTCATATTCTGTGAAGTATTATAATGGGGATAACAATACACATTAGACATCCTGTTCAGTAACATTTTTAGTACCCAGCTGAGTCCAAATATAAACTATAATGGCATATGGAGACTGTCTTAAGAGCCATTTCAAATCAATTTAGTTTTATATAGCGTCTCTCCAAGTCTCTCAAGGTGATTTACAGTGAAAAAGCAAATAGTGGGATAGTGATTTAGTAGAGTAAGGCATGGCAGCTGTCAGGCAGGAAGGCAAAAATGCTGCATGGAGACGTAAAACTCTAATTTAAAAGCAGTACAAAGGTAAATATATCTTTTTGCTCTTCCAGTACAAGAAGCAGTCTGGTAATGAAGCCAGACTGGGTTCAGTTTAACTCAACAGTTCAATGGAGCCATTTACAGATGGAACTGGACCTAAAACTGAACCTTTTCCACTCAGCTGTGGAGATTAGGAAAAAAAACGGGGAAGAAATATTTGTGACCAATTCATTTTAGCAGTTTTACCATCATATTTCACAACCTCAGAAATTTCAGACTTCCTGTGGGTTGGACTTCTGCCCTAGGGGCTTATGAAGTCAAGAAGGCAGCTTTAAGTGCCTTTTTCATGGAAATTGTTAAAGCCTTTTTTAAAGAAGCAGGATTCTAGTCAAGAAACCTTGACCTGGCTGGTGTGACAACCATTGTGCTGCTCCTGTGCACGGAGAAGGAATAATTCTTCAGAGAGTGTTTCCCTCACCTACAGGACACCTTTCCTGTGGGTTTTTGCCCTCCTGCTCACCCCTCAAGTGAAGCTGCTACAGAAGCCATGAAAACACCCGTGTTTTGGCATTCTTAGTGTGAAGATCACTTGTGCTCCTGACATTTCCCTCCCACCTAAGAGTTCAGAACGGGCTGGTGGATGAGTTGTGCTGTTAAGTGAACTTTAGGCAAGAGAGAGGGAATGCTAGGGAATGCTGCTGTCTTCCTAGGACCTGAGGACACAGAATCCTGGGACAGCTCAGCGTGGAAGGGACCTTTGAAGATCATCTCGTCCAACCTTTCATGGGAAGGGGAGCCTAGATGAGATGACCTAGTGCCCAACAGCATCTTGAAAACCTCCAGTGATGAGGACTCCCCACATCCTTAGGGAGGTTGTTCCTTTGTGCTTCTTCTTTGAGAGGCCTGAACCACCCACATTTCCTTCCATCTGAACCTTCTATATTGCCTTCCAGGTGCCAGGATTTGTCAGGATTTGTCACTGCTGTTGTCTGTAGGTCAGGGACACGGTGGAAGCCTGACCTGCTTGTCCACCAGGACAAAGATTTCAATTCCCCAACAGGCAGGTAGGGGCTGTTCAGGATGCCAAAGCTGTGGAGAGCCTGAACTGGAATCACTTGAAAAAGCACCTCCTTGCTGTACCATCCTGGCAAGTGCAGGGTTTGTTTAGTGGCCTCGGGGTGGATGTCTTGCATGCAGTGACTTTGTGAGTCACACGGGGCTGGGAGTCCTGCTGGGATGTCTGCTCATCTGGGAAAGTGCCTTCTCTTCCTTTCTGCTGTGCAAGAAGTGTATGTTTTATTAAATAAAGTGCATGTTCCCTATGCAAATGAACGCCCTTTGGAGAGGTGATATACTGACACGTTGTATGTTAAATATGTATGCCCTTTAAAAACTGAAGCAAGAACTAAAAAATCATTTATAAATATTAAAGAGCAAGAACTCTAGTTTTTGTTTTCACTGTGCTTCTGATCCTGCACTCTGGGAAAAACACTCCTCACATTATAAGACTGAATTATCTGTCCAAGAACTAAACCTGTAATTTTTATTCTATCAGTCAAGCTGTATGTCACGCTATTTTTGTATCAAGACAATCAAGTTCTTTGAAGCACAGACACACACCTACTTAAAAGAAGCTTTCAGCTGAAAGCAGAAGACTCCAGAAACAGCAGCAGTTTGTACCTTTCAAGGGACTGATAATTAAATAGAGAAATGCTGATTCTAATGAGAAGAAGGTTTCTTTGCTGGCTAGGGTGATGCTCCATTAGGACATTTGGGTCCAGATTCATCTGTTTGGACTACAGACATCAGTCCTTTGAACCACTGACTTCTAATGGCTTCAAATGTGTCCTTTGGAGATACTTATTTGACAAGAAAGGACAGTAGGCCATCTGCATTCCTAACCTGACTACCTTAGTTAGGTACCTAAAATGAAATTAAATCAATCTAGGCCTTGCTCTAGCTTTTTAAGTATTTGTTGTATGGGACACCTATTAGAAAGTCTAGCACTCAACCCATTGTTATAGCACAGTCAACTTGCCTCTAGAAAGCATTTTCTGCTATGCAGGGTTTCCACATCCCTCTGGGAAGAAGCAGAAGTTTCTCATTAAGGAAAAAAAGTGCAGCAAGGCCAATGCAGACATTAAAGCACCACCACCAGGGAGGCAGTTTTAGATTACAAGTGAAAGAGAGCAGCCCCGTGTTTCATAGGATCACAAAATGGGTGATGCTGGAAGGGACCACTGGAGGTCATCCAGTTTCCTTCTGCTCAGAGTTGTTAAGGTAACTTGCAAATACCAGAAAAGTCTCAAGACAGACTGTAAATATGCTGTGCCAATTTTACATACTGAGAAACCAGGTACACAGGTCAAATAAGAAGTAAGGGCATGGCACAGAATGGAAACTCCAGCTCTGGAGTCCCAGTATTTTTCCTTCCTGTAACACCACCATTCTTTGTTGATGAAGAAGCAACAGTTTTCAGCTTGGTCTTCACTGCACATTCACTAAATTATTCTCTATATTATTATTATATATTATGTGCTTCTGGCTGCACCATGGATGGCAGGAGAGCCAATGGACAGCAGTGAAAGGCTTTTGGAAACCTGCAGTAAAACTGACTTTAGTGAAGCAGTGCTATCCTCCCCTCACTTTACTAGCTCTGCTATCAGCAAAATGCCTTTCTCCCTTTCCAGATGGGTGCTGGAGCAGTGGGAAATATTCTCCCTCTGAGTTTGTTGCTCGTGCCTCTGTTGACAGGAATTTTTAAGACAAAAGGTCATTTTGGTGGATTGAAAAAGCAGTGGAACTTCATGCCCCTAATGAATGGGCAGCAGGAACTCATCCTGGCAGTGCTCAATGGCTGCACATGAAAGTAGCCAGGCTCAGTAAATGAAACCAGATCCCAAAATGCAGCCTGAGATAACTGAACTTTGATATGCATCAAAGTTTATTGTAGGAAAATGACTGAGTGGAAAAAGAGTGGTCTGCTCTACCCCTGCACCTCCAAAACATATTGTACCATTTAAACCCTCTAGAAAGACATCTGCCAAAAATGTGATTAATTCTCCTGAAGGTCAAATGTATTTCTTTTGTAAAATAGTTGAAGCAGCAATTGAACGTCTTTGATTACTCTTACAAAAGCAACTTAGGAAAAATCCTAGGACTGCTCTTGTGTTTGAAGCTGGATGTTTACTGCTTACCGGCAGTGACTTGTGTAGCAAAGGCGAAATGTGGTCAGGAAATGATTGTGACCCCCCCCAAAAAAGGGTCAGTCCCAGAGCAGCCTGTCCCAAATCGCAGCAGCACATCCGTGCCTCTGTTTGGAGTGCCACCCTGTGGACACGGCTCCTCCCAGGAGCTGCTCTCCTTCCACAGGAGGTGACACTCAAGACCCACCGTGGGGGACACGAGGATGGGTGACAGCACCCCTGAGCTCCCAACCCCGCTGTCCCCTGCCAGTCCTGCCTGTCCCTGCCCACCCTGGGGAAAACGGTGCTGGGCGAGGAGTGGGAATTTCTGTACCAAAATACAATGTCTGCCACGAAAGACCATTTTTGCCTGTGCTTTCTACACAACAGAACATGAAATGCCACCACCACTTCTGAGCTGGATAGGAAATAATTGGGGTATCTGTAGGGAACAGCTGAAGTCTCTTGTATTACACCCCCAATGCAGAGCTTTGTACACTGAGGAGAGACCAGGGAAGCCCTCTGCTCATCCACGGATGAATCGAGCCCCTGGTAAGTCAAGTTCATCCTTAGAAGTCAATTTCTGGATTGCATTATAATTTTTTTCTCTCTGACTGTTTGTGTAAGACTTGCAGGTTTATTCACTGGAGATTGCCACCATAAATTTTAGGAGTCTGGCTTACAAAGCCTGTAACAACCTTGTTTAGTAAAGGTGTGCCTTGCAGCCTTTCTTCAGTAATGCCACTTTGGCTGCCCCTTACCTCTGGGGTGAGGTATTTCATCATGATTTCCTTTCCTTTCTCTCCCAGCTTTTCATCTGGAGCAATTTCATATTCTGCCTGGAACAGACATATAAAAAATAAAAGTCAATATTTGCACTCATATTTCACCATTATAACTTCATTTTGGATGTGGCCTTAACAGAACACTCTGTATGAAAAATCAGAAGGACAAATATAATTTTCTGGTGGAAGTAAAACCTGTACACACAATCTTATTAAAAACTTTCCACTATATTTTGACCAGACCCTAGTGAGGTATCTTCTGGGGCTTTGTCTCTTAATTAACACCAAGACAATTTAATTAATTTATATTTTATAACCTTGCAAAGCCAGCTTTCAGAAAGCATTCAGTAACAAGAGACATTAACTTTATTTGGTTTTGCTCAAAAGGAAGGTGAACACAGAAGGTAAAATTATTTCTCTGAGTAGTAGAGAAAGTGAATGTTAACCCTTGCCACAGTGGTATTTCAAGTGCCAGGTAAATATATATACATATACATAGATATATCTTCTTCAATATATTTTCTTTTTTTTTGTTTAATGTGTTTCTTCTATGTATTTATGCCTTAACCTTGGTCTAACAATACCCGTGCAAAGCAGAGAGACCTGCCCATCACTATTAGTGATCCTTGGCTCAGTCCCTCCAGAATGCTGATTTCTTAGGTGGAATTCTTAGGGCCAAGAGGAAACAAGAGAGACCATTTAGAGGAATAGACTCCATAATAGACACCCTAATCAAAATGGTGTAGAATAGACACCATAAGCAAAATTCTCTTTGGCTTCCCTAGTGCATTAAAAAAAGGGAGCACCCCATCCTCACACACAAAGTCTACCTACATTTTAAAATTCTGCCTATTCTAGGTATTGAAGCATTACTGACTTTTGATGAGCTTTGTTTACATTAGAAACAAAAGAAACACTACATGTGTACCACAAAGGTATTAATCGTTTCAGCTGAAGTTTTTGATCCATGGCAGGCATTCGAAGCAAACACGTGTTGCAGGGGACTCCAGTGGCTAAATGACAACAAGTTCTTAGAGACATTCCTGCTTGGCACTGCCTGGATATGAAACTTTAGCCTTCAGATCAAAATATTTTCCAGAAGTAAAAAGGAAAAAAAAAAATAAGAAGACGACAGCTTTCATGACTGTATTAAAAAAAGGATCCCAGAAAATCCTGCCAAACTAATTAAATAACCCGGTCCAATACAAGCTGTCTGTGATGATAAATGAGGAGGAAGCTAAAAAAAAATAAAAATAAAAAAGGTAAATCAGACTGAACTGGCAAACACTTGGAAGAACAAATTTCAGAACTATTGCCCACTGGAAGATGTATGTACTGCTCCAGGCTGGATGCAATAAATCTGCAGGCTGGCTGTAATGGATACCCCAGCTAAGCAAACCTAGGAATGACATGGAAACCACAATGTAGTAATAATGCAATTCCCCTTCTATCTGGCCAGTGCTCATGGAGCTATTGCAGCTCAAGTCTGGAGCTGAATATTTACACACAGGCAGAGCAGGTTGCTTGAACAATCTGGAATTATGATCTGATTTGTTTTGGGATATGATAATGGTCACAAATAAAAATGATTTAAAAAAAACAAAAAACAAAAATCTGCAAGTACAGTACTTCTTGAGCGATTTTGAGGATGAAACTGATTACGTTCTCATAAAACTTAATACAAGGGTTTTAAAAAAATCTTTTATCTAATTTCCTGTCCTTTTAGATGGTATCTGAGTAGTTCAGATATATTCTGTACTTTAAGAGCTGAAATGAACTGGGGCATTTCAACTCTTAAAGTACAGAAACTCTGAAATGCTTAGAGCATCTTAGCAGCACTTTTCTCCATGATTCTTCTCTCCTTCATTTGCTTTCAAACCCTGATAATATATTGTCTCCCTAGCAAATAAAAATTGATTATAAGTCATCATCTCCTATTTGAAGAGCACCAGGGAGCTGTTGAAAAATTTGAAGTAGTTTTTGCTACATATAACCTGTATCAGTTACATCCCACCTGAACTGTACAGCAGGAAACAAATCAGGACAGACCATAAGACAGAAACTCAGCAAGAGCTGGATGTCTCAAAATGCAATTTCTAATGGGATCCAACATATGCAGAGCTAAATGCACACCTATACGTATACAGAATATCTCGTTCTGCCTCGAGATAGACTGCAAAGAATGAAAGGAAAGTTTAATTTATACTTGCATTTGACGCTCCCAGGAAATGTGACACGGTGGTGGTGAAGGTGGGAAGTGACAGACAAGTGAGGATGTGAGAAGGAGCCATAAGCTCCAACTGTGATTTCACTGCAGGTCTGCACTAGAAGCCTGTTCCATTTTGTTCATTATTTCTCCCTTCAGTGGCATTTTTGAGCTATTCAGCAACAGATCCTGGTTCATTTTCAGCCATGACCTGTCACTACAGGACATAGACAGGGATGATGTCCCCTTGCTCTCTCTGCCACCTGCCTGGGAAGCCACAAGGTCCTCAACTCCTGGTCTTGTGCTTAAATCACAAGATACCTCCCCCCCTTTCCCAACACTCAAAAGCATAGCACAGTTTGCAAATACCTAATTGCTAGAAATAACATCACTACTTAAAATCTGTGTGGAACAAAATATTTTCCATTATTCCTTTGATGAATCCAGGCATGTGTTTCAAGGCTCCTGCTCTGAAGTCTAATAGCTTCTCCATGCCCTAGTTAGGTCAGACAGGGCCCTATTCATAGCCCAGAAATGAGGGGAGGATTTATGATCACCCTGACTCCGTGGGACAAGCTGCAGGGAAGGCTCTGTCTGTGGGCAGGCACAGATCCTCCAGCCCAAATGGCGAGAGGATGTGGGCTGGCCATGTCTGCTGCTAACCTTTCTTCTGGCTGCTGTTTTGGAGGTAGTAGTTACATTGGTGGCTCCTTCTTCCATAGAAGCAGCCCTGGCTGGATGCAGGAATGGGAGGGGAAAGTGTCCTTCCCTTTGGAGCAGCTGTCCTCAGGATGGGCTGAGAGAGATCCGATGGAAAAATGCTCTTCAGCTGGAAAAGGGAGCAACATCTAGCCTGTGACTGGCTGTGGGATGGGGCTGTGGGCTCAGTGACAGCTCAGGGTTGGTGGCTGGAGGCTGCCTGTGATGGATGGGGAGCTACCAGGGCAATGACACAGGGACCCCACAGGGGCTCACATTGATTCTGACACATCAATTTATGTAGTATTTGATTTCCACCTTAATATTATTTGAGCTCTTGAAACTGCATGGATAAAAATATGTGAAAATGGAAAAATATTTCTGCAGATCTGGGAGGATGCTGGAGGTAGCTGATGTTTGTCTGTGGCAGCATGGCATGGCCAAGGGAGTCATCACCCCTTGTACCCACCAGGAGGTGGAGATGGGCTCAGACACTCCCACCAGAGCAGTTCTGGCTTCTTGGCAAAAATCAGGAACAGTGGAATCAGCTCTGGAGCATCTGCAGGAGGCTACTGGCATTCCAGTCCAAATTTTTCACCTCTGCTTTCTCAGCTCCCTCCTCTGTTATCTGAGAATATCTCTCTGCTCAGTCCTTTCTCACACTCCAGGCTCTGCCCTGTTATTGCTCTGTCCTCATTGCTTGTCCTTGCACTTGCCTCCACTGGAGATTTAAAATCTGTGACTGAAAATTGGAAGGCAACCCCCAAACAGCTGGGATTCATAATAACTCACATTTCTAAATGAAAAGTGAACTTGAAACCATATTTTTCATATTTAAAGGCAGGGCAAAAAGAGCCCTTTCAACTGTTTGAAAACACGTTTTGAGTTAATGAGTTTGTTGATACCAACAAACTGGCATTTCTGATGGGAAAAGCCTTGAACAGCTTTAAGACACACATACACAGATGGTTTATATACCACAAAAGGGATTTAACCAAACGAAATCTCCCTAACAGCAAGACAGGGTTTTTACAAATGGCATTAAATGGATGCTCACTCATCCTTTCACCCCAGATAAGTGCAGTGCCTAGTGAAGCATTCAGCTGCAAAGTCCATGTGAGGAGATTGTGCCTCTCACCCTGGCTCCTGAGCCCAGACATTACAAGCAGAAACAACCTGCAGAGGCAGCAGGGCTCTTTTCATCCACAGGATGTATTTTTGTGTAACTTTGGTGCAGAAAAAGCAACCTTGTTCACATTAGAGAGAAAATAATGACCAAAACTGTCCACATTCTCTTCCAGTCAACCTAAGTCTGGTCCATATTAAATTGTTAAAAGCCTTCTCTTGGAAAAAGAAAATTATGAATGTGAGTAGATGAAGCAGGAAAGGGAGTCCAGAAGCTAAAGCCTTCATTTTAATGACACATAGGAGAGCAGAAGGAAATGTCAGGAGCTGCCACCCTGGGAATGTGTTGATGAGAAGGGGACAGCAGCAAGAGGTCCCTGCTGAACTGAACTGCCACCTTCTTGTGCTGGAGGCACTGGCTGTGGAGAAGGAAACACATCTTCCTAGCACTTTGCCTGCTCACTGAGCTGCCTTTTAGCACAGGAAACATTTCCCCTCACACTTTATTTTAATGCCTTTCTTTCAACAGCTCCAAAGTTGAGCGATGTTGCTAAAATATTTGTAAGCAGAGCAAAGTGTGCTTCTGGGCTTTGCATGATTCCTGGAGCAAGGGCTTCCAGAGGAGCCTGTTTAATCATAAACCATCTCCATCTAATGATAATAGTTTATGTTCACATAGTTCCACCATCTGAGTGGCTCCATCAGGGTTTGCTGAGCCATTCAGGGCAGATCTCTGTGGTTCCATGCACCCTGATAAACACGCAAAGCCTTCAGAGCCACATGGGTGCTGGGTGGATATTTTATCTCAGCCATCAGGACCTCTGTCATGAGTTTGTTTGCACAATATCTGCAGTAAGAGATGGTTTTCTGTCCTCACAGCCCTTTGTGCCAGCTGGGACAAGGGCTCGTTGCTCCATTTCCCAGACAGACAGACAGACAGACAGACAGACACAGTGACAGGCACCCTCTGGTCCCACAGCAGCAGTGGGAACCAAACACCCACAGCTCCACCAGAGCTGTGCTGCAGAGCTCTGAGTCTCTTTGTTCTTATCACTGTTATCATCAAATGTTGGGGCCTACTGCTTACAAACCACGTGTTAGTCCGGGCTACAATCGATTGTGACTAATTGCCCAAACACTGCTCTCAGAAAACATGTACAGACTTTTTATGCCTCTGAGCACTTTCATCTCAATTACTGGTTGAAATTGCCCAACGTATTGACAGGTTTCAGAGGGAACTGACAGCCACACCCCTACATGCATGCAGAATTTGGTGACACAAATCCTTTTTCTTCAGAAAGCAGCTTAACAACTGTTTAACTGGCAAAAACCCCCAAATGCTGCCATAATTACATTTGCAGGAGACTACATCAGACCAGGTTAGTTATTTCACACAACAGCTGACATAAATGTCCAGTCAAGAGAGAATTTTTTTGGTCTGCAAGGTCTGGATGATTCTACCAGCCTTTAGAAGCAAAGGTCTGAGAGCTTAGTCTCTCATAAGGATGTTGGTAGATTGTTGAATGTCTGACTCAGCTCCTGGTTTTCTCCCAGAAGCCCCAGTCATTTCTTTTCTTGCAGACAGTTGAGTGCATGAGTTGAAAAACTGTATAAAATATTGGGAGGCATCAAGTACTGCCTTCTGCCAGTGACTTACTGTGTCACCTGGTAAAGTCACTTAGATGGGCTCTGAAAAAGAGAGGTGGTACCCCCTTTCAGTGTGCAAAAAGCTCTGTGAGTCCCTCATGAACAGCTAAATATTATCCCCTTTTATCTTTTCCCTTTATTTGACATTACACAAAAGCTAATTTTTGCATCTTGTGTTAGAAAAATTACTGTGAAGAAAAAAAGAAAAAGAAGGCTCTTAGCTTTTCCTGCTTGTTACAGCAGGTGGTCTTGAAAAGGTTTCACATTCCTGGTGGTCTCAGATTAGGGCTGTAAGGCCAGAGACCTGGTCTCATTATAGGGCTTTTTTTTTTTCTTAACATAGGGCTTGGCTGGAATCCCACTACTCACTAAACACAGTGTGACCCCGCTGGGCAAATTTCGGTAGCAATCATCCAATTCAGTGGCAAAGGGCTGGGTTGCTTGACCTTAATATCCCCTAATGCAGGGATTTTCACGGGCTGGGAGCAAGCTTATACAGAATTTGAAATCAATAAACAAAGGAGACTGCTGTTAATTAGTGTTAGAAAGAAGATAAGGATTCAGACTTCCACCCAGACAGGCATTTTGTTTATCAAATCCTCACAGTGCCAGTGTGAGCCCAACTGGGAACAGACCATTGGCCCAGTCAAGGTGCACGGGGCAGCTCCAGTCTGCAAAACCAACTTAGGGTGGGTGCCAAGCACACCTTTGTGAAAGGATTTGGGAAAATCAGCTCGGGATTGCTCGGAGACAGACCTTTAAAACCAAGGCAGTGCCACCACGAGCTTTGGCAGGGCTGTGCTGCAGGGGTGAGGGCAGGACACGGAGCCTGGTGCTTGCCACAGGGCTGGGGAGGATGGAATGACACAGTGCCCTCAATTCCCGGAGCCGGGATAGACGGGAGCGGCTCCGGCAGCGCCGCAGCCCAGCCTGTCCCGGTGCCCTGGGGTGCACAGATGTTGTTTCCCGGTGCCCTGGGGTGCACAGATGTTTCCCGGTGCCCAGATGTTGTTCCCGCTGTCAGAGGCATGCCCTGAGTGCGTGCAGGGCTCGCACAATGGGGGATGCTCCTCCGCAGCCCCGGAACCAAAATGTGCCTTCTGCAGCTGAGAGGAGGAGAGAGAATGGAACAGAAGAGAGAATGGAACAGAGCAAACTGAGCCCCCTCCAAAATGAGCACGGCTCTGCCTCTGCTTCTGCCCAGAATTAAAACCACTCACAAACACTCTGCTGTGGCTGTTTCGCCAGGGGTTTCTGCAGGTGCCAGTGCCCGTCTGCTCAGGGTGCAGGTGCACAGGTGATGTGGCATTTCTGCAGGGATGCCTCCTCCCAGATGGGTGTGTGGTTCATCAGGGGCAGACATCTCACTGGTTCAGGGCAGGACAAACACATTCAGGGTACCCAACGTGTCCTGCTGCCTGCTGGCTTTGAGCTCAGCTGCACAGATGTTTGTCAGATGTCTCATGGACCTCGATGTACACCTTTCACCAGAGAAAATCACAAGCAGTGCTAGGAATTACAGGTGGAAGTCATGACCAGCTATAACTGATTCAGATATGACTTTATCCAACACTTTTTGTGATGCTGTAGATTTGCTGTTGTTACTGCAGGAGTAACATAAACCTTAAGAGACCACATGTCCTCTCCAGACTGTTACTTTTACAGCTTCAGTGCAATCTTCACATTTCCCTGTACTTCAGAGTAGCTTCACCATGGTGCAAACAAAACAGATTTATTCCTGTTGGTATGCATTGTTTTGCTTCTGCCAGTGTTAGCCAGGGACCGAGACCCTGCAGACACTCATAAGTGACAAGTTCATCTTCCTCTGGTACCATTTCACCTTTTGTTCATCAACACACTCCCCTTCCACAGGCTCCCAGCAAGAGAAGTGACTGAGAGACTTTTCCAGTGTGAACAGCTGGCAGGACACATGGCCAAGAGCTGCCAGACTGGGAAAGAGCGTCAGGTCCCCCAGGGCTTGGGGGTGATGCTCAGTGTCTGGGTTAACTGATGGCTCACTGGGGTGGAAAATGGAGCAGATTTGTTTCTTAGTGACCTCAATCAAGTTATTTCTGTACCTTGTGCCTCTGTTCTCCTGTTTGAAAAAACAGGATGATTATCAGGATGTCTTTTGTAAATCATCCTGAACTCTGTGGATGAAAAAGGCTTGGTAAGAGATATTAGGATTATTACACTCCCCATCCTCTCTTGTCAGTCCATTCCCAATTTCCCTTTCCTCCCAGTGCCTCCCAGCACAGCAGGCTTCACCCCCATCAGCAGACATTACTCACAGCAGCTCAGCTGCTCGGCTGTTGGCATGAAGGGAGGCCACAGCAGCACTGTGAGGTGACTGTCCTTGTCCCTCTCTGGTGGCTCATGTCCCCCAAGGCTGGCACCAGCCCCTGCTGGGACCAGCCCTGTCCACTGCCTGCTCCAGCACTTCAGACACAAAATCCCATGAAACAGAGATTTCCTGGGGTCAGAGGAGTCTCCTCTGTCAGGAGAATGTTGCAAAGCACCCCAAAATACCACAAGAGTTGACTTACCACCGAGTCAAGGAACCTAATGCAGCACTCGAGCTCGGGCCGAGTTTCACAGAACTGCCGAAACAGAAGCCTTCCAATGGGCTGCTTTTCACATATGCTGCAGTAATCTCTCTCTAGAGGCAAGAAAGAGAAGAACAGAAGCATGAAAATGAGAAGAGCTCTGCCTTTTGGGTTGCTCAAATAAAGCATTGCAAGTGAGTGCAGAACTACAACCCCAAATCAAAACATCCTCCTTCTCCCTGCCACCACATTTCAGGTATCCAAATACAAATATAATTAATGGTTTTAAGACTCAATTATGAGAGGCTGAATTTTGTAGGGCTGATGTTGGAAAAGGTCAAGCAAGAGCCATTCAGCTATTATGAGAAAATAATTTCATATTTTTCTGCAGTGGAAATGTATGCAAAGGTACAGCTCAGACTGGTAGTATTGGTGGGAATGTGGGGAGCAAATTACAAGTCCTTGAAATATGAGTCATACATTAAAGGGTAGAAAAAGCTGGAGTTTGTGGAGTCCTTCCTGGATGTTTCCTAGATATTCACTGAAGTGCCCCATATCTCTGGAAATGCTTAGCCTACTTTCTATTAAACAATTATAGTAAACTACACATTTTCAAAATTTCTGCTATTTAATTGCTGAGCATTAAAGAATGGATAGAGCATATGGCATCTGGCTCATTTCAGTTTCACACAACACTTACAGAACTGTATTTCTCCCTAAAAGCCATGTTTAAATGCCATTCCCATGTGCTGGGTGTATCCACAACCATCACTCACAGTAAAGTAAAAAGTCCTTTGCCCATCACAAGGACTATCAGCAGGAGAATATGGATGAAGGGCAGGCATCATTAACTGGCATGGCACCAGCACAAATGCCAAGGGCTTTGGATATTTTTCTGGTGAGAGCAGAAAGTCCCCCCAGCCTGCTTGGAGCAGCAATACTTGCTTGAGACACGTTATTCCTCTACAAGTACACACATGTCAAACAACATACTGTGTTTCCTTAGGCATTCTTCTCACCACCCTCCTCGCTGCCATATGGCACTTGCTGTTATTATGGAAACAACCAGCTTCTAAACACATAACACAGCACTGCAAACAGACATACCAAACCCACACAAGTTGTCAGTGCCTCGGTTACTTCTCTCTTGGGCCTGCAGTCACTCCTGCAGTGTCTTTGATTCCCCCTCTGCTTTGGCCCCCCACGTCCTTCAGCTCCTCCCACTCCATGGATGCAGGCACACATCTGTGATGGAGCTCCCCTTTGCCATTGGGGCACCCAGCTGAAGGAGCTGCTCATCTCAACTTGTGCCTGGGGACCACGTTCTGCAAAACCAGGGCTTCACAGAATCGTCAAAGAATCATGGAATGGTTTGGGTTGGAAGGGTTCCTAAAGGTTATCTAGTTACATATCCCCTGCCATGGGAAGAGACACCTTCCACTATCCCAGGTTGCTCCAAGCCTCATCCAACCTGGTCTTTGACACGTTCAAGAATGAGACATCCACAGCTTCTCTGGGAAACCTCTGCCAGGGCCTCAGCACCCTCTGGGTACATTTGTCCTGAACTGAAAATGCTGTATGAGCTGTTGGACTACTGCCCTGTGACAGGGTGACAGTGGGCAGGAGCAGCCAAGGCTGCCTCTTGTAAGAGAAAGGAGGGAGCCTGCCCAGTGCTGCACCTGGCTGAAATGATTGCTGAAGCACTTCCAGGGTGGTCACTGGAGACATGGGTTGGGGATAGCTGAAATGTGCTTTTAATTCACTGTGGTCCTGCTCTGGTCTGGTCTTCTGAAGCAGTTGGGAACGACACATCATCAGCAGCATTTTTTCGCTGGCACTGCCATTCCATTTTGGATCAGGATATCACTCAATCTGCCGAGATGACTGCAATGTTTTGATGCTCTCTTGCAAGTAAAACTGGATTAAAATCACTGTGTAAATCCTAACCTGACCTCTAGTCAATCTGATTATCAGCAGCCACCCCCCTGGCACTGGTTTGTTTGCCTGAGCTGGAGCCTTCAGCATGGAACATCATGGCACTGATACATGTGGTGGGAAACCCAGAGGGAACACTGGGACAGGGAGCAGCCTTGGGGTGTCCTTGTGGGTGGGACCAGCTTGTGCTGCTTGTCCAAGTGTCATTTTTAGTGAGTAATTGCTGAAAGGATGAGCTGACACGTGAAGGGAAGGGAAGGAGTCAGGAGAGTGGATCAAAACAGGAACTCACAACATCCCAGAGGCTCAGCAGCTCAGGTGAGCTCTCCTGGGAGGTGTGAAGGTTTAACCACATCTGCCTGATGCTGTTTTCTGCTGCCTTGACTAATGAACTCTTGTGAGGGTATGAATAAAACATACACCCCGAATACCAGTGCACACAGCCTGCCTGGCGTGTCAATCCCTCCAGAAGCCCAGACCCACAGCAAGCCCCCCACGCCAAATGAGACTGCCTGGATTCGTAACACAGTAAACCAGAAAGGAACAAACACAATAATCAGCTGCTTTGCCCCATATTTTCTCTTGTACATCATTTGATGGACAGTAACAATGTTTGTTGTACAAAATGAAGTTAGTTTATCAAAGTTGTTATGACACCCAGTGTAGCAGAGGATAATCTTTTACTAAAGGGGCCAGTGAGAGCAGCTAAATTAGTGTGCTAATTGCACAGCCATAACTATACTTCATAGCAGAGCAGGGACAGAAAACAAGCAGCTAAACACTATGACATATGTGGATAAACAAAACATAAATAAGACATGAGCACGGACTTCCTCCTACTCTACAGAGCTTGGCCAACAAGTGAGAAGCGTGGCCCATTTGTAATGAGGAAAAAGGAAATACCAGAAATAATCCCTGAAAACACAACAGCCAGAGCAGTTCCCTGGAGCCATCCACTCCTCTGTCATGTGCATTTAGCTGCTGGATATACCAACACAGACAATAAATACACGACAAAAATGCTTTCATTCCTTGTAGGTGACACAAACTATTTTCTTAGGCCCTGATCTTGCTGTTGGCCTCTCTAAGTCAGCTAAAGGAATCTGCACTCAACCGATTCTTGGGATGCACAGACCTGGAGTGGACTAAGAAAGAAAAACACGTCCCTCAGCTAAAGCTGAAAAAGGAGTGGATGGTTTTATTATGGCAAGAAGTGTTTTACCAGCGTGCTGCACCCCAGAGATGTGGCTGGAGCACCCCGAGCTGTTCAGGAGCTGCTGCAGGAGGGAAGGGATGGGGAGGCACCACAGCCAGGGGCTCTCCTGGGCTGGGGCTGAGCCCTGTGTCACTCTCGCTCTGCCTGCCAGTAAAAATATCCATCCAGTTTCAAAAGTTTAAAAAATAGAAGGAATGATTTCCTGAGGAAATGGAAATGTTAAACACTTGGAAGTGAAACCATATGCTTATGATGATGAAGTGTAACTAAAACAGCTCTGAGAGTGATATCTTTGGTAGTCAGACCCTCCTGCCTCAGCGCCATCCTGTTTAACACCTGCAAAGTCACCCAAAACGGGGGTGAAAAGCTGGGTGGGTCAAAGTCTTGGGAAAGCAGAAACTTCTCACTGACGCCAAACTCTGTATGTAGAAAATATCACAGGCAAACAACGCACACATGCAAGCAAATTCTCCATCTTCCTAACAGAGCAACAACACAGATTAATATAGAAAAGGTATTATATAAAATGCCATAATTAACATTCATAAGGTAAATAAAGATAAATGATGTTTATTCATAATTCTACTGACTCATTTTTCCCGTTACTTCATAGCTTATGTATTGAAATACTAATTTCAAGAGCACCCAGCACAAAGAACATACCAAAATAGTTGCACCTGCACACGTCATGCTGTCACCATTCAAAGCCTATGGCCAAATTTGATCCTAAACAGATATTCTGGTAAGGTTCTGAAAAATATCTGGGCCCATGCCTAAGAAAAATAGTCCTATTTACAAAATTTCATACCAATCAAAACATACCATTGATGAAGTGAAAAGCTCAACACAAGTTAATAGAGTTTCTAATGTTAAAATCCCCAACTTTCAATAAAAAGGGGAGAAAAATCTAATATTTCAATTAGATAAAGTCCTCCCTATGCATTGTAAAGATTGTTTGTCCGAATTTGTCATTTAAATACCTTTCTTTTTTTTGGCTGGCTCAAAATATCACCTTTTGGAGAGAAACAGTGGTCTGAGAGACCAGGTCCCCCCTTTTCTTTCACATTTGCCATATACCTGCAGGTTTTGATAGGTTAGTGCTGAACTAACAAACTATATCATAAAAACTACCTCATAACTCTGGGCTGAAAATCAGTCTTTTATGATATTCAGTGTCAACTGCACGTGTCCTAAGTGAGACTGCTGTAAAAGTTGCAACTTCTGCAACTCGTTGTGAAGAGCTGCAAATCCAAGCCCTGCAATCAGCTGGTGAGGCTTCCTCCTGTAGGTGTCTGTGGGGAGGGATGAGCTCAGTTTTAATCCTACTTTTAAAGTCTACAAAAGCCAGGAACATCTTTTCAGCTTTTTGGTCATTTACTGGTGTGACCAAGGATTGTATTGATGTACTATCTATTAAGTAACATTTTATTTTCCAGCATACTGGGATCCCAAGAGCAGATTTTCCAGAGGAATGCATGGAGAATTGCCAAGAAGATATGCACCATGCTGCTGCATGGGAACTTTGGGACTTGACCTCTGGATCCCTGCTATCCTTGGCATTAAATCAGATGAAAAATGAGTAAGATCCAAATGCAAAGTAATTATTTTTAGAAAAGCCCCCACAAAACAACAATAACAATAGAACCCCACTAACAAATCAACCTAGAGCCCCCAAAGAGGATGTAGGAACACTTAATTGTTCATTTCCTGCTCATGCTCAGTGATCCAAGATCAGAATTCATCTTCCCTTTCCTATATTTCTCATTTAAGGTGAACCAAAACCATTCAGATGCTGTTCCAAGTCTATTATTTGTCTGCTGCTCTCTTCTTCTCACCTGCTTTGTCCCAGAAAAACAAGAAGCACCCCAAATGAATGGAAGAAAGCATTTGAATGCCTCAGTCCCTGGGAGTAGCAGTCAGCTCCTAAGACTGCTGGCACACCAAAATTAAAATTTTCTTCTT